TATTACTTTTATTAACTTTGAGAATAAGATAACTTTATGAATATTGTAACTTTTAATCATAAATGGATGAAATTATATTTTATCATTGCTTATTGTGGCAACCACTTAGAAAGTATATATTTATAATTTATTGAAATAATCTGAGTGATTTGCATTTGTTTTGAACTCAGCTTCCCTAATACTTTTAGTCACTGTTGAACTGGTACTCCTCATTTTGTCTTCTCTTACATTGTTTTCAAACATCTTACCATGCAGAGATGTGACCTAAGAAGTTCTTTGTCTCTTTCAAGAGAGTTTATTTCTGTATGATTCTTTAGGTTCACCATTCATCTTAGACTATTGGTCCTTTTTATTTATCTATAGTCTCTATTTCTTCTACAATTAAGATAACGAGATAATGTGCTACATTATCTCTTTAGAAATTTTAAATAAGAAATAATGTTGCAAGGGCCAGACTCTCTCCCAAGAGACTTCCCAAGTATATTTAGGGCCTGACCAGCAGCCCTCCTCTCTCAGGAGCCCAATGTTTTGAGCCTTTTTTGGGACACACTCTCATTAACTACCATGGCGATTTATTAATTTATAGTGAGAAATAGCAATTGCAGAGTTTTAGGGACTTGATGTCCATGTGAACAATGCATTCTCCTCCTGGAGACAGACCTACGTAAGGAGACAAATCATCATCAGAAGGTTACTCATTGAGTTTAAAATCAAAATAACGTAATTAGAAAAAATTGTTGTTTACTGAAATTCAGCTAAAATTGCTTGATACATCCATCTCCACATGATGGATTATCTTGTCAAGAGAATTAAGATCTCAAAGTTCACTGAAGCGCTCTCTTTCTTGAACCCAGCAGCTTGAATGGATACTACCAATATTTACCTGTGTTACTTCCCTTTTTCTATGTGAGGCAAAATGAATTAAGATTCACTCACACCTTCTTAAGTGGTTTGGGCATCACCCCATCACTGTTAGTGAATGTATGAGAGCTCTACAATGAAGCTCTGGCAAGGCACTATATCACAAGAGGAAATTAATAGGTGAAATATTAATTTCTTATGTAGACTTGATATAGGTTCTTGGAAGAAAATTAATCCTTGTGGTAGATATACTTAATTTCAGGCCTTGATGGGGAAAAAAAAAATAAACCTCAATAGCTCCTGTCTTCTCTACACCCCTCCTTAGTAGGATCAGAATTTTCTCTTCTCTCAATCTTCTCCTCAAAACTTGAGCTCATCACTCCCTAAAGCAGGTTACTGGGCAAAGCAGAAAAGAAACTGTAAGGCTTTCAATTAGTAACACATTAGAAGGGATTTCAAGAGCTTGGGGAAGGGAGTAGGTCCCTAACAGAAAAGGATTAGTAAATAAGAACTCCAGAAGCAGAGAATGTGTAAGTGATTCCAGAGAGCTAGGATATGTGAGAGATTGACAGGGAAGCCATCATCTTCCCACAGTCTTCCCCCGTCCCCCCAACCGTAGGCCTGGGGGAATATCCATCCCACCATTTTTCTGTAAACCCCAAGTCTAAAGAATGAGGTGTTTTATCCATCATATGGTAAGAATCAGCTAGATAACTAGAGTAGGGTACAATGCCTGATATGTTGTATATGGCTATACGGCTTTGAAACTACCATCTGAATTGTTGAGTCAAGAACTGCGCAGAACTTCATCAGATCCCGGTGTGTATTTGCTTCAAGATATCCTGAGTGGGGTTAGGATTTGTATAATAGTATAGGATCTCCACTTCCAGCAAGCCACAAACAAGCAAGAACACAACAGCCCCACTGGCCTTCTTTCTGTAAATTTCCCTTCCCCATTTTGTAGCGAGAAGCCTGCTCTGAGGGGCCAGAAAGACGGGAAGAACTATCAAGGATAAGCTGCTTTTATGATTGACTCCTTTTCTTTATCATAAGTGACTAAATTCTGTAGGTCTGAACAGAGTACAATCCAATCCTTTTCTATAAGAATTAATCTATCTTACATTAAATGTTAATTTCAGAGTTGTATTCCATGATAACAATCTTACTTCCTTATTTTTCAAGTTCTTGGAAGGTGTCTCTCTGTTGTCCTCCTCCAACAATGCATGTGAGGCACAGTCAGGAGTATTTTAGGTTATAGTTACTAAAATAGCTCTTGGTCCTGTTTGCCCCAATACACAGAAGCATAAGATTTCCTGTGACTAAGTCCACATGTTGGAGAAGGTGTAAATATTAAGGCAGTGTGGGGATCCTAGTCTCATTTTTAAAGATTTGGTTTAAAAACCCTCCATCCATTGAAAAAACGTATCTTAAAATACAGTATAGGCTAGGATTAATCCACAAACTACTATCTAATTTTATTCTTCAACTTGATGGCAGGAAGCAAATAGATATAGATAGAGACCATCGGGCAATCAAGATATCAGAATCAAAGACAGCAGACAGCATTTTCTCGTAGCTATACTTTTCTGACACCTATGATTTGAATTTGAAAATTCACGTTTTAGCAATCCACCAATAAATATTTGTTAGACTGCTGAAACAACTCTTTTATGGCTCACTTTACCTTCTCATAAAATACACCACAATAGCTGTCATTTGATTGCAATTTCTTTGAAATTTTGACTCACCCTCTATGACGCAGAAATAGTGACCAATATATATGCCACAAAGTCCCAACCTTGTTTCACCCTGTCTAGGTTATAAGATGTTTAAGGTAATGTGTGAAAACAAAGCACTGAGACTTTAGCTCTTTTGCAATTTCCCTGTTTCAGAACATGTCTTAAGCAACATGTGGCTTAGTGGTTTAATCATGATAGAGTGTTAGGTGTGCTCAATACTGACCCCATTCCTGTTCTGTCTACTCCGACTTCTGAATTTGCTGGATCACTCATTAAATATCTCGGTGGCCCCAGAATTCCATAAAATGGTAGATAATTGATAAAAACAGCTGCTACCTTGTCTCTTTAGATTTTTTGAGAATCAAGGAGTTGAACGTAGATTGTAATAGGACCTCAAATGTCACATCTGTCTTTTAATGTCCAGAAAACATTTTCTTGAGTAGAAGAGAAGTTTCAAAAGTTGCTTCTCCCATCTATAATTCTGAAGGAAAAGATTCCAGTTTTATTTACATTTTTAATATTTCTTATAGTGTTAATGATGGTAAAATGCCTAGAGATCATAAATTGAAATTTTATACAATTGCTTGAGTGGAACATTTTTTAAAACTGCATCTAGTCCAGCTATAGTCACTGTGAATGTGAGTGTTCTCTATTCTTTAATTAACATTATAGAAATATAATCTATAGCAAACACCATCCCAAACATAACTATTTGAAATCTCATGCTTCTTTAAGATCTACAAACATTCCTTGACATAGAACATTACTTAAATGATAAATCAGATAGTAAGTATATTCTTTATTGGTATTTCCTTTTATTCTCACCAAAACCCTGTCATGTAGTAAGTGCAAGTATTATCACTCCCATGTTATTGATTGAACTCCACAATTGAATTAAATTTCTACTCACAAATGAAGAAATGGGGGGCATAGAGGATGCAGATGTTTCAGTTAAAAAATATATTTTTTCATGACTTTCAATTTCTGAAGAGATGAAACAAAAATTTACTTAGGCCACTGCCTTTACCTAAGCCCAAACAGAAAGTTTGAAAGAAAGCGTACTTCTAGGGAATTACCCAACCTCAGAGTCCTCAGGTTTTTCAGTGTTATCTTCTGTGTTACTATTTTAAAAATACCACCCTGGTAATTCTTGAAAATATAATTCTGCTTTTAATGTCTAGTAGAAGAAGCATATTAACCATAATCTTGACAAATGTTTTCCTTCAATTCTATTATGGAACATAAACAATTTTTTTTAGCTAGTCAAGAGACTTGATTATTGTCAAATAGCACACAATAGACACTCAATATTTGTTAAATGAATTAGTGAAATTTGAACACTGGAACAAGGCCTCAGGGGGAGGAGCTTAGAGGTATGAGGGAAGACTGAGAAATAGAGTCACGTGATTCGTGACCAAGAGGTGCTGCTCATTAAGAATGTGGCACCACTGCTTTTCAACCAGAGGTTTTATAAACAGAAATCTAGGTTGATTTCCTTAACAAGCCTGTGTTAACAGAACCAAAGTTTTAGACATCCCAGAAGTCTCCCTTTGGTAAATCCCTAATTAATAAGAAAGCTTGAACTTCTTGCTTTTACTTTCTGGCATCTTGGTTTTGACATTACAATAAAAGTGTTAAACCCTTTAGTTTGATGAGGAAAGTCTTTCTAAGCCGTATTAGCTCTATTCTAGGCCTATTAAATAGAGACTCTGGATGCTTCATTTGAAGGTACGATTGATCCACTGGATCATCACTGGAATAGCAGTTATCAGTATATGGCATTGTAGTTTGTAGCAGAAAGACATTTGGTTAATTGAGGGTTCTGTTCAGTTGATTTCCATATTAATCAGGGCTTTACAACATAGTAATGTGTTGAAAAAAAAAAGTAACAATACGCATAATCATTTACTTCTGGAGTTGTATTCCCATTTATATTTATATGAATTTCGTATCTACTCTTTTTTTAAGTATATGGATACATGCTTTAAATAGGATTAGTATTGTATAAAGTTTAGTTTATTTCATCTTCTAATTTCACTTAGAAATATAAAATTGACTACCCTGAGTATTCATTTTTTGAATACTAAAAAGCCCACATCTCAAGTTTTATTTCATTTACTGGCTCAGATGTTTTCTTCCCTCTACCCATAAAATGTGTTATAGATTTTTATTTTTATATAAACTAAAAGAAATGAGTTTTATTCTGAAATCCTTATGGCTCTTATGATAACTGCAGGCATGTTAAAGTGTGAGATTTAGGAATGTACCTCATAGAATATAGCAGGGACACAGCGTTAAAGAGTTACCAAAGAATTACTGTAAAAAAAAACAAAAAACAAAACTACCCATGTTGATGTGAAGTCATATCCTGACCAAAGGAGGAAGTGGCAGCTCACTGTGCTCAAACTTATCCGCTGCTGTACATCATAGACGGCACACTGCTGTCTTCAGTTGTTTCAGGAACAACAGAAAGTGCACTCACTTGGAGTAATCTGAATTCAAAATGCTGAAGAGAAAACCATCAAATGTTTCAGAGAAGGAGAAACATCAAAAACCAAAGGTAAGGCAATTTCATATATAGTCAAACAAAACCAAAACATTTAATAGAATGCACGTATACATACACACACACACACATTGTTCTTATCTGCCAGTCATAAATCAATTCAACCACAGGGTTGAATGCTTCATGGAAAATATGGAAAAAATTGAATTGCAAAGTTAGATGTTAAGTAATACTTGACAATTATTGTCTTTGTAATTCCATCTTATAGTGCATATTTGATCATTTGCATCTGTAACTGAACTTTAAGGTAAGATCATCAACTTCATGGAAATCAATTTGGTGGTCTCTGTTTGAAAGGTTGATATTATGAAATCTTCTTGCACATTTTTAATGACTATAAAGTTGTCAATGTCTTTTTAACAATCTACCAAATGCATTTTATCTCTTAAGTGCTCAGCTCTTCGTAATACATTTAATTATGAGAAGGTTGTAAAATGGAGATGTTTTGCTTAAATATTTTATTTTTTTCATATTAAAATATGATAGCTTGTTGTAGAGATTATTTTTCCTATTCTCTCTTGAACTAACACCATTATTAGGGAGAGGATTGGGTTGTGTTTTGGGAAGCATCAAAACCTCATAAATTTATAGATTTTATTTAGAATGTTATTCTATTCTTTGTCTTGAAGATAATTGCCACTTAAAAAAAAAAAAGCAGGGCATGAGATGACAAACTTTAGATTCATTGTAGAACTCTAAATTAGTTATTAGTTTCATTAATAAATAAAAGAAAGTATTTATGAAATACCATTGTCAGAAAATTTCTCCAATACTTGTACATTTCTTGAGTTTCTTGGGTAAATAGCATTTTTAATCTGTTTGTGAATAGACAGTAGCTGGTTCAGGTGTCTTTTTAAAGGACTGATTTATTATCTCTTATTGATCTTTATTTGCTTGGTACCCGTTCTGAGGGAAAGAAGTTGGGAATTTATTGTGAACTTTTGAATTGATGTGTTATTGAACAATAGTCAATTTTTTAAAACTCTCTGCAAGTTACCATGCAACCTCTCTGAAGGAAACTTAAAAACAAATTATTTCCAATCTTTGGAAACTATGAATACATGATTTTCAACATTAATTCTTTCTGATACAAAGATCTGATAAAGGATAGACGAGCATCATGAGTTAAAAATACAGCTAGGGTAACACATCGTGATTTCTGTCTTTTTCCCTAATATGATAAAGATTCAAGGTAACATTTTCTATTTAAGATTAATTTCATATAAAATTTACTTGATTAAATGCAACCAATATTGAGTTGACAATAGTAAGTTTTAGGAAGATCACAAAAGTTAATCTGAAGTACTGGTTCTCTCCAACTATTTAAAATTTCAAGTTAGACTATCTCATATGGACTGCATTATCATATTTATGTCATTAAACTATTTTCAAAGTGGTACTTTAGTCTATCATCATCATTTGCCTTAATTGCAGGAAGTATTGTAATACAGGTAGAGTACTGATCATCTTATTGACTTCTTTATTCATAAAAGTAAAGATATATTTGATAAAATATACATCTGGGAACAAAATATATCACAGAAAACAGTCACATTGGAAACATATTAACTTTTGTTGTGAATGAATTCCCATTTTCTGTAGATGGATGGTTTCATTCTATATGAATTTAAAAAGATATATGAGTGTATGTGTACAAGTGTGTTTTTCACACATTCCAGATCAACTAAATCTTTTCCTTTTAATATGGAGGTGATTTTTTTCCAGTTACAGTCATGCATTGCTTAATGATGGATATACGTTCTGAAAAGTGTATCGCTTGTCTATTGCATCATTGTGCGAACATCACAGAGTGTACCTACACAAACCTAGATGGTATAGCCTACTACATACCTAGGCTGTGTGATACTAATCTTGTGGGACCACCCTCATATATGTGGTCTGTCATTGACCAAAATGTCATTATTCAGTGCATGACTGTATTATAATTATATATTAGAAACAACTCCTTTTTAATTCACATTTATTTTACTGAGTAATTTTGTGTATTTTATGGAAAAAAAGCCGAATCCATAAGAGATGGCAGAGATGGATGTCGTGATGATCCCTACAAATAAATGGCTAGTAGAATGAGGAGTGCAAATCTTTCATCTACTGGAAGAGAACTTAGTGCCTGGCTCTTTCCTTCAAATAGCTCATAAATAGGATTATTAGAGATTCACAGTGTAGGTTGAAAGGGAGAGACCAGAGATATTCCATAAGGGAAACTGGAAAAGCCTTGGAGAATTATTATGAAAGAAACCCACTATGTATAATGGAATGTTAATAAATTCCAACAAGTTTAATTTGTGTCTCAGAACTCTCTATCGTCTATACGTAAATTCCAAATTAAGAAAGAAATTTGATGAATTATGGTTAAGTATTCTACATTTAGATTAGTTAATCATAAATAGCCTTGCTTAACATCCATGCAAGGGACTGTACTTCCCTTCTTGAGTTTTGTTTTTACTTTCTCATCACTAGTGCCCACTACTGATAGTGATTTTTAAAAATTTTAAGCATATCCAGGATTCAGATTTGATAAGATATGATCTCATTACACTCTATAAATGCTTAAACTATAGAATGTGATTTTCTCTGACTGTTTTTCCAACTAAAATGTTTTATTTTAGTTTTCTGTATTTATAGTGAGTTTATTACATACCAGTTGCTGTGTTCAGAGCTTCTTGTAAACTAATTTATTTAATATTTGTAACAACTCTGTGAGAGAATCACTGTTATTTAGCCTCATAGATGAGAAGGCATAGAGAAGGTTTTTAACTTGAGCAAAGACACATAGTTAGATGAAACTTAAAACTGTTAAAACTGTGTGATGTGAAATACATATGTCAATTTCCAGTGCTTCTGTTCTTAATTATTATGCTGCCACTATAAGCATAGAGACTGTAGATATTTCTATTTCTGTCTTAATTATTAGCTAAATTTTAAGGAAACCAAGGAGGACATATCTTTAAGAGCCTCTGAAAGTTGGAAAGGAATTTAGAGGTCCTCCATTACTGTCTGATTAAATGCAAGAATTCCACCTACAAAATCCCTCAGGTGTCCACCCAAGCTTCAACACTTACAATGAAACAACAGTAACAACAACTTTCTTAATATTCTAGTGTCTAAATTGTCAAAAAAACCATGACCTAATATTAAGATAAGTATAACCACATACTCCCTCCTGCACCTGGCATAACGCCTTCAGTGTAGTAGCCTGTTAATAAATATTTGTGAAGTGAGTGAAGTTTCTTGAGTCTATTATATGCAGCCTAGTTCATATATGAATACTCACTGGTGCTGTGTACTTTCATTATTCTTGGTAGCAAGTCTGTTAGTGTGTGCATAAGAAAGTTTGTATGTATGTGTGTAAATACAACTGTAATTCATTTTTAAGTTTTATTTTAAGAAGAACTCCAATATAGCAAATGTTGTGCAAGGATCCCTAGAGAGGCCTATTGTTATATAACAGTAGACCTTTGTTCCAGGTCAGGGAATATGTTAGAAACTTCAAAAATAGAAAAGGAATAGACCCCACAAATGAAACTCTGCAACTGTAGTTAGAACAACTTGGCCTTTATTTGTCTGGGATTACTGACCTGTGTTAATAAATTTTAACTGAGGTTTTTCTTTGAGTAAAGGAGATTCAAATACCACTGCTATTTTAAAGGGAAACATCGGAATAATGGCAGTTCTGGAAATAGCTTTTTTTTTTTTTTTTTTTTTTACCATTTTTTTTATATCTAAAGTGCATACTAAATGAGACACCATTAGTTTCACAGATGCTAATTTTCACTAGCAATGACTGAAGTGGCATTCTTTCCCATTTGCATTTGATCCTAGCAATGATGAGAGGTGATGAGTTGATTATGAGCTGTTTTCACTGCACTGCCCGCTGTGCAAATTTATGCTCCTAGACAGGGATGACACATAGTTGTGGCATTAAAGAGCTTTCTTCATTGCTTTTCCTATCAAGACTGATAAGATATATTTTAACTCTTATTTAACCAGGTATAAGAAAAGAGAAGAGCTTATTTGCACTTGTGCTTACTTTAGGCCAGGCACTTGCACAGGGGGCTTTTGGCATTATTTTTCCCCCCAATTTACAAGAAAGAAAATGGTCCCATATATGTGAAATATTTTGCTCAAGGTATAATAGTTGGTAAAAAAAAAAAAAAAATTGGTTTGGGATTCTACGGGTCAGCTTTTCTTCTTCTAGACCTGTGGGTTTCCCCTCTGCTTCTTTTTGCTTCTTCATCTGGGGTACAATTGTCAGACTAATTTAGATGAATTCAGTTGAACGTTTTGGCTTTTCCAACAAAGTTATCTCAAATAAGATACATGATGTACAATGTAGGTAATATTTTAAACTCATTTTTCTCCCTTCTTAAAAAAATGGTGCATAAATAAATATTTATTTTCACTTTTGGTTATTACCCCCCTCAGCACTGAAAAAATCTCTCAAAAGGCTCTCTTCATTTATGTATTTAGTTAGTATTTATGTCATGTTTATTTCCCAAGAAATATTTAAAGTAAATTATAATGCAAACCCAAAACCAAATAAGACAAGTCAGGAGAAAACGGAGTATAGATCACAGTAAAGCGTATTACAGGGCCACCAAGGTTGAGTTGAACATGGATCTAAGTACCTGCTACTCAGTGTGGTCCTACAGACTAGCAGCATTGGTATTCCAAAAGTTTGTTTGAAATGCAGATTCTCTGACCTACCTCAGGCCTATTAAATCAGAATATACATTGTAACAAAACACCCAGGAATTCTGAGCACTTCAAATTTGGAAATGATGTTCATATTGATGGTTCTCAACCTAGGTTGCGTATTTGAATCACTGAAGAGCTTTAAGAAATACTTATGATTGGGTTCCATCTTCAAATATTCTGATTTACCTAATATAGAATGTGCCTGAGCATCAAGAATTTTTAAAGTTTCCCAATCTTGAAACTTTTCCTACTAATCTTTTCAAAAGACTTAGAAGTTAATTCATTAATCCATTCATCCATTCCTTCATTCATTCTTCAAAACAACAAATATCTATTAAGTGCTTACTATGGACAATATAGACCATATGCTGGGAATACAGTGGTGAATAAAACAAAGATGACTGCTTTTATAGGATTTACATTTACTGGGGATGACAGACAATAAACAAGATAAATATGTTAAATATATAGTGCACTGGGTAATGATAAGTGCTAAGAAGGGAAGGAAGGGATATGAAATACAAGGGACCAGGGAAGACTTGGTGAAAATGGACGTTTGAGAAGAACTGAGGGAAACTAAGGTGCTGGCCAAGAGATTGGCTGAGGTAATCGCCTTCCAGGCAGAGGAAAGAACTAGTCCAGGGGCCCTGAGGTGGGAGTGTCCCCGGTGTGTTTGAGCAACAGTGGAGCAGAGCACGCAAGAGGAAGAGAAGTCACAAAGAGCTGGATCACAGAGGGCCTTCTAGATTATTCTAAGGATTTGGCTAACATTGAAAGATTTTGAGAAGAGAAGGATCTGGCTTACATGTTAGTGGGTTTATTCTGTCTTTTGTGTTTTCAAATACACTGAAGGGAGTGAGGGAGGAACAGGGAGATGAGACCCATTAGGAGGCTATTACAGAAACTAGGCAAGAGATGATGGTGGTTCAGACAAGGGAAGCGGCAGGGTGGATGTTGACATGATATTGAAGTTGGGATCTATTCATACATATTGTATACATTTGGATATGTATAGGAAACTTACCACATGCACTTGAAAGATGTTAAACAGAAAGGCTGCCACTGCCCTGCACTGTTCTTGCTCCCAGCTGGTGCCCACATTCCAGGGAGAAATGTCCTCATTCTTCTGCTCACAGCCACCAGAAATTCGACCCCAAACTGATGTTCCACTTCCCAAAAGTTTCTGCCTCTTTCTTCAAAATACATTTTTCTATTGGATTTAATTTTCATTTCTAGGGCACCTCAAATCAGAAGAGGTGAACTAATAATTTGCTCATTTCACCAGTTTAATTGTTTAAAAGAGTTAAACAATTTTAGCCTTGAAAATTTTTCTCCAAACAAATTCGTTTTAGCCTTCCCATTTTACAGAATATGAATCTATAATCAAGTTTCATTGCAAGCAAGTAGCAAAAGCTTTGGGGCCAAATAGATTGGCTATACTTGAAAAAACCACAGGCCCAGACAATGTATAGAAAGTTCAGGAGACAAATGGCTGAGAGAAATGACGGAAGTATGGACTTCCCTCTGAAAATTTGGATATTATATCCTATAGGAAGTGTGTGAAGTCACTACCTTGACTACCAATGCCCTGTATTTGTTAAAAATCAATGTAATGATTCACTTATGTTTTTAATCTTTCCTTGCCTTGCTTTGGGGATAAATGGCTTCATTATCCCTGCAGATTGTGTTTTTTTATAATGGAATTAAGTCCATACTCTACATATCTAAGTTTCCAAATTTAGCATTACCAAACTGATCCATTTCTCTTGCTTTCTAGTGTTAAGGATTTAGGTGAACTTTTAGAAACAAGACATTCATAATTAGCTTCTTAGTAGAGAACAAAAATGTCCTCCATTAAGACTTGATTAATAAGAATAGAAGAGGGTTTTAAACTGTCTCTGGTGGCAAATGAAGTGATTCTTCTATAGATAGAGCCATTTGTCAACATAGCTGGCTATGTCCCCTCTCCCCCTTCATATGAAGAGCTTTGGAATTTTTCACCTAGTCTGTATTAGTTTTCTAGGGCTTCCATAACAAAATACCACAGTCTGGGTGGCTTAAAGAACAGAAATTTATTTTCTCATAGTTCTGGAGGTTGGAAGTCCAAGATCAGGGTGCCAGCAGGGTTGGTTACCCTCTGAGGGCCATAAGGGAAGGATCTATTCCAGGCTTCCCTCCTTGGCTTGCAGATGGCCACCACTTGCTGCCTCTACACTTGGTTGTCCCTCTGTACATGAGCACTCCTGGTGTCTCTCTTTGTATATCAGATCTCATCTTTGAGTGGCTCTGGCCACTTACATGCTTTCCTGTCTGTGCTGCTCTTAGCTTAGAATGCCTTTGCCCATTTTTTCCAACTCATAAACGCATATCTATCTTGTAATACTTCACTGGACTCTCACTGCCCCAAGAAAGCCTCCACCAGTTAGCCCAAGGCAGTGTATGAGAGGGCATTCTGACAGAGCAGTAGGGAACATAAACTAAAGTCTTACAGATGTGGGTTTGAGGTCCTATTTTGATTTTTCCTAACCAGGGAATATTGAACATTTTATTAAGCCTCTTTTGAGTTTCAGTGTGCTTATCTTAAGAAGGAGGTGTGTTAAAGCACGTCACATAGGATTGATGTGAGAATTAATTTAATTACCATATGTAAATTTCCTAGCACATAATACATGTTTGATTAATAATCTCTCCCTCCTTTCTATTTTCATAGTACTTGTTCCACACCTCTATGTTTCTTTTACCATAGTTTATTCCAATATGCCCTCCCAACTAGAGTCACCAGCAAGAACAGGGGATGTATCTTATTCATATTTGTATCCCTGCATTTTTGTTTGGGAAAAAGGGGGATTGAACTCTGCCCGACTTTCAGACTCCATGAGCTTTCTATTACACTTTGGCTACCACCACCACCATTTGTAAATATGGAACAAAGTCGTGATTTCTCAATATGTGTACAATAAGTGTGAAATGACTAATGGATGATATTAGTCACATAAAGAAGTAATCTACTTCAAGTCACAGTTTGCAAATGGGTCACTGATAAAGATCTGGGCAGCACCCACATAAAACAAAGTAACCGTTCTTAGAATCAGAATGTAATGAAACAAAACAATAATCGAAAATTGTAATGTAATCTGTCTGAAGGAAAAAAAGCATTTGCAAAGGGAGCCTAGAATGGAGTGGGAGAGTAGAAATTTGCCATTGTGTCTGCAGAACAAGCCAGATCAACAGAAGTAAATATTCCATTTGGCTCAGCAGACTTGCTCACTTGGGTGAAATATGTACTTCAGGCTATTATAACTTCATGTCTCTAGCCCTTAATACCACCTAATTCACTGTACTGTGATTCTACTATCCTAATCAAACAAACTTCCAACGATTTTGTGTCCCATGTAGTGTTTCCTCCAGGAGAGACAATTCTTTGATCAGTCAACAAGAATATGCATTCTTCTTGGCAGTTAAATTTCTCATACCTAATCAATACTTGGTATTGCCATTTTTGGTATCTTATCAGTTTAGTTTATGAGTCAGTCCCCTCTGAGGTTTCTTAATTCTGCGAGCTTGAAAAATAAAGTTCCTGTACCTGTCAAGGGGAAGGCCTGACATTGAACAAGGAGACGTGGCCAAGGGATTGGCTTCCTAGAAGGACTGGCCTGAATTGCCAACTGGCCCCACCTTTTCTCTACATACGTAAAATAAAGATAACTAAATAATGAAGTTCCTTTTCTATATTTTTCTAATAATTTAAAAATTTAAATTCCTAGAATAAGATTCAAAGCAGATTTACCTTGTATCAAATTCTATTTTACAACACATAGTGATATGACATTAGTCTGGATATTTTTAAATTTTTTCTGAATATTTCACATGGTTATAGCTATGCAACTTTGATTTTTTTTAATAAAGTAACAAATAAATAATTCAATATATAAATTTTGTAATGTTTATGGGTATGTATTCCTTATATTGTTAGTTATTACACAGCCATCATCTTTTCTAAATTGGGCCATCTATAAATTGCATATTACTTTAAGATTATGCATATCTCACTTTAATTATTTATCAATTTTAAGGCAGCCATTACCAATGAAACAAATGTTTGTAATTTTAAATATAAAATTCCTTCAAAGATAAATGTTCTATAATTATCAGACATTATATTGTAGGCTTAGGAATTATCATAAACGGAGTTCATTTCTACCACTACTATTACATTTCAACACCAGTATTAACCCTCAATAGATTGAAATATTCATATAGCCAAATCCAAATTAGCTGAAAGGAAAATAAATGGAACTGACAACGAGGAAGTTATTGAATCCAAACATCTCTTCCAAATATCATAGCGTCAACTTACTATTAGTTTTCTCCACCTATTCTTTCCCTCTTTGGGATTACATACCGTATATTTACCCCACATAAACATGTCTGTTCTTACTACGAAAAAAACGTTGAAATTCCTAAGCGTAGTGGCAGCGGGTGCTGCCTGAGATGGGAATGTTTATAAGCTTTATGATATTAACTGCAGCACTCAACCTGAGGTGGCATAAAGCATGCAAAAAAGAACTTTCTGTCAGTTTTATTATTTCTAAAAAGGTTCCCCTTGAAGCAGAAGAGTGACCTTGCTCTGCTGAGCTGACATATGCCAGTGGATTAATGGTCGAGCTCTGCTGGAGGGAAGCTCACGGAAACATTACAACTCCAGAAGCTGGGCTGGCGGTGACCATTAATCAGGGGGACCAAAACCATGCATCAAAAACACTCATTTAAAAGTAGTAAAAATGACTTAAAAAAAAAGCTTTTTGAGAATTAGCTTATTGTTTGTCATTACTTGTGTTCAAGGAGATCACTGCATGGCTAAAATATCCCTTGGGGAGACCTTTAGAAAGGTTATTATGTACCCAGAGGCCAAGGGAAAGCGGAGGCCATTTAAGACTAATGGAGGTTACGGGGAGTTTTTGTTCCAGAGAATTTGATGGGAAAGTTTATTAAATTGATTCTATTTTCCCAGCTTAATTTTCACTCCTTTATTAACCATGATTTCGAATCAATAGATACTATGAATGTTTGTCTCTTTGTGATGATTTTATTTTTAAAACAGGAGTAACTGGATTTCGTGGTATAAACATTTGACTGGTAAACTTCTTAGGAAAATTTTCAGGAACCTCAAGTTTGAGTCAATCTATTTAACTATTAAATATATTTAAAAGTATCTTAACAGTCTTAAGAGTACTATACATTCTTCCATCAGGTGTTAGATAATGAAAAATTTTCAAGACTTTTCTCTCTCTGATTACTGAAAAGGAAAAAAAGCTTAAATCTAAGATCCTGAAAGAGAATGTTCAGTTTAATTTAGCTGATAATAAGTTACTCTTGCTTTTTAAAAATCCCTCTGTTGATAAAATTGAATAGACATAATTTCTCTTTTACATTTTTAATAATTTGTCTTATAGATTAGTGATACTATACGTAATACCCATAATATAATTTCATTAATAGCAGAATCAGGCCTCTGTTAAGAAAACCAGAATATTTGATACTTAAGATTACGGTCAGTGTAGTAAGGCCTGTTGTGATTAGTACTTCAAGATTATTCTTCTCCTAAATAACTGCTGCCTTCTTTTACCTTGGTATTCAATATTATCTTTTTCTGTTAGCCATATCCTACACAGGAGAATTATTTATGCAGAATTATTTATTTGTTTTTGAAGTTTAGTTATAGGATTAAAATAGTTTATAATGATATGACTGCAGTTAAAACATTATTTAATGTTTGGTTATAAGCAGAAAAAATCTAATAAGTACTCAATAGAAAGTTAATTTCTAAATTTATGGGATGGGAGGATAATACATATTTCTTGTAACTGGAAAGTTTAATCATCCATCTTTGGTACTGCATTCTCTCTGCCAAGGTACCTGGAAAACAAAATTAGTAGTGGAAATTTGCTCACGGAAATTACTCAGGGATAGTAAATGCATGAAATGTGTTACCTGTGATTCCTCATTCCTCTCCCCATGGTCTTCCCTGAAATACACACTATCTTCTGTAGCCATGGTAGACATGATTAATCATGACCTCTTTAACTGTAAGCCTGAAAGTGGCTTCAGAACCCTTTTCAACACAGCTCTCCATGAAGGTCTTAACAAACTATCCACACTGGTGCAAGAATTGAAAACTTCTCGCCAATTTTGGTTTGAGAGACAGTCTATCCAGACAATGGAAGATCCTAGTGAAATATCCTTGTACCGAATACACAACACTTTTCTAGCACCCAAAATGATTACGTTCACCGGAAACAATCTTTTCTTCTCTCCCGTGAAGAGTTCAGGAGATAATTATATTAGACACATTTTTGTCAACCAGTGCTCCTTTTAGTATACAGTGTGTGGTTCATCACCATTTTGTTACTTTATCATCATTTTAGCAATCACCATCTTTAGATTTGGCTATTTCTAAAGAGTCCCTCAGTCAATAACTACACAATATCTTAGAGTAAATAACTTTTGAAGATGGTTAAGCAAATTCAAATTGTATTGATTTTAGCTAATTTCACTTCCCAAATCTCTGATAATTTTAATGGACCTTTCTTTAGCCTGAAGATAAATAATATAGGTATAGACATATACACACAAATGCCTTTCATGTACTAGTAGTCAATATAAATAAGTATTTGTAAATGGATGAATATAAATTTCCAAGTTAACAGCTATTATACATTATTAACTTCACTTATTTGTGTATAAATACAAGCTGCTTTTAGGAATTGCTTCTATATTTGTATACCATTCATTTGAATGTGGCTCTATTTAGCTCTAATCACTTGAAGTTACTTGGTTGACGGCATCAATAGAGTGTAAATTCCTCCAGGATAGATTCTTGTCTTATTCAGTGCAGACAGCTCTGACCTCGAGTACAAAGTTTAGCCATAGAAGCCACTTAGTATATTTATGTTGAATTGCATAATGGAAAACCTTATGGTCTTTAATTAAACATCAGCAAATCATTTTCCTTGGCTATAATGTGTTAAGTTATAATTTGCTTTTGTGTAACTGTGAAATGTATGGTTTTTGACATTTAACTTGAAGAGTATTGTAGGATTTGTCATCTGCTGTGGTTTTCCCAAACCTCACAACTGTAGGATTTTTCATAGGTCCTATAGCACGTAAGATCAGAGGCAATCAATGTGCGTTAAAATGGTGAGGAGTCAGCAAGTGGTCTCATAGAGAAAGTGGGACTTGATCCTGCCCTTGAAGAATGGGCTGGATTTGAGTAGGAAGAAGAAAAGAGGACGCACATTCCTTGAGAGAAAAACAGCATGAGCAACAGCTTAGAGACATAAATGAGTGTGTCCATACTGGCCAGTAAGAAGTGTCAGAAGTTCTGCTTAATCAGATTGACTAGCATTACTTGATACATGGGGAATCCTGAATGTGCAATATGCTAAGTTTGGGCTTTATTTTGTTAACTAAGGAGGAGCTACTTAAACTCTCTGAGCCTCAGTTTTCCTAATTTGTAAAGTGGGGAAATCAATACCTAGCTCAGAGGGAGGTTGTGTTTATTTAATGAAATAATTATAGATAAATCACTTGGCATGGAGCAAGCCCTCAGTAACCATCATAACAGTGTGGAGCAAGCTTTACATTTTTTTGTGTGTGTGTGTGAGGAAGATCAGCCCAGAGCTAACATCCGTGCTAATCCTCCTCTTTTTGCTGAGGAAGACCGGCTCTGAGCTAACATCTATTGCCAATCCTCCTCCTTTTTGTCCCCCAAAGCCCCAGTAGATAGTTGTATGTCGTAGTTGCACATCCATCTAGTTGCTGTATGTGGGGTGCGGCCTCAACATGGCCGGAGAAGCAGTGTGTCGGTGCTGCGTGCCCGGGATCCGAACCCAGCCTGCCAGTAGCGGAGCGCGCGCACTTAACCGCTAAGCCACAGGGCCGGTCCAAGCTTTACATTTTGAGAACAAGAAGAAATGTTGAGAACTGGTACTTGAGTCTAGTGGTATGAAGTTAAATGATTAGAGAGGCAAGAGTTCAGGGACTAAGGAGCTGAACGTTATTGCATTGTGGGTTATAATGGGAATGGGGTTATAAACACATATTTGAGTAGCAGGAATGAAAATAAATGCCCACAACAGAGATTTGGAGGAAGAATTGAGCAGATGTGGAGGCCAAAAGAATGTGTACGTGGTACATTATGTTTTGCATTATGTGTCCAAACTCCCCAAAGAGAGCAGTGAGCAAACGTAGGTTTCCAACAGTACACGTGGAGGGTTCAAAAGGCAGGCTCAAAACAGATCCTCAGGGGAACAGGCCATAAACAGAGAGAGCCTTTTGTTGGCACATCTGCCTTCCCGCCTGAAGGCAGGCAGAGAAGCTACTATGGCCTAGAGCAGCCATAAAAGTGGGTTTCCTGGAGAAATTCTTGAAGATTGCAAGGAAGCAGTGGTATAATGAAACAATTCTATGATCAAGAGGAACCATTTAGTGTACTTGTTTATGGGTTTAGTAGTTAGAGAAAGAAAGAGAGGAGGAATAGAAAGTGTGCAATGCACTACAACCAGAATACAGGAGTGAGGGAGCCAAGCAAGTTTAACAGGGAAAACAAGAAGCTGAGCAGTTCAGGGCCGGCCCCGTGGCTTAGCTGTTAAGTGCGCGTGCTCCGCTACTGGCGGCCCGGGTTCGGATCCCGGGCGCGCACCAACGCACCGCTTCTCCAGCCATGCTGAGGCCGCGTCCCACATACAGCAACTAGAAGGATGTGCAGCTGTAACATGCAACTATCTACTGGGACTTTGGGGGAAAAGAGGAGGAGGGTTGGCAATAGATGCTGGCTCGGAGCCCGTCTTCCTCAGCAAAAAGAGGAGGATTAGCACGGATGTTAGCTCAGGGCTGATCTTCCTCACAGAAAAAAAAAAGCTGAGCAGTTCGGCGTAGCCTGATCATGGTCACATTTTTAAAAGCTTTTCATTTCTTTTTTATTCTATAGAATTTTGTAAGAATTGGTGATATCAAGTGACTGAACTTTTGCGCAATATGCTTTCTACCTAAAAAAAGATATTTAAGACATATCAATATTATTTATTTTAAGAACTCCTTTCAACTAAAGTAGAATATCTTCATTTCTATTCCATTCCTAAAAGTACAGCATGACTTACAGTCTACGGATGCAATGTAAATCATGAAATATGGTAATAAATCATGCAGAGGTGCAACTGAGAATTTTAAATGTGAATCTTTTTTACTCATAAAACATGTTTTTGTTACATTAAATGGGCTGATATGAATAACCACTTTTATAGGTTATGGATCATTCTGCATTGATTCTTTTAGTTCTAGTTTCTTTCCTTTTGGTAATTTTCTTTGAGGCAGTTTCACTTTGCAGAAAACATCTCTAGTGGCACATCAGCTTCTGAAAGTACATCTCTAGCATGGAAATTTTGACACAACTTTAAAACACTATGGTGGAGTCAGAATCTGCACTTCCTTTAGATATTTTGCTGTTGATGGAAAAGATACTGAACCAGAGAGATCAAGTAGATTAACTTCTATTCTAAGTCCAGATGTACATTAAAGATCTTTAGAGCCGTCATGTATGTTTGAGCGTTGGGTTGCCGTTACCCAAGGTTAAATGTTAGTGTTGAAGGCCATGTTTCACAGCTCTCATTGTCCTTTAGCCTTCAGTCCCTTGACGCCCCACACCACCATCTTCCAGTGGCACCACGTGATAGTGTAATTATTTAACACTGAGGCAATTCTAACAGATTATTTTAAGCGAGTTAAATTTGTTTCACACTCTTCAAAAGATCTCAGCACCTGAGTGAGTTAGAACAATTAAATCCTCAAATTCCTTTGGATAAAGGCTGACAAGCTTATTTAGATTTAGCATACTATTATTATAGAATATTCATACAAGCTCACACTGAAACAGAATTCTGATCTTCAATAGCATATTACTAACCAACTCTCTATGTGCAGTATTTAGATGATGTGAGAACTCATTGGCAGAGTGTGTGTAATTTTTAATTTGCCAGTATATTTCAAAATACCACGGATGTCTGACTCATATATGCAAATTTTTTCTTTGAAGTAGACTGTGAAACTTTTCCACCAGTGCCTTACCCAAATAGTAAGTCATGCTGGAGATAAGATTTTTCTTGAAGACCCCAAAAGTTGGTGGGTGGCTAAGAAATAAAAATATGGGTCAAGTTCTTTTGGGTTTGGTCAAAAGGTTGATTTACATTTCCAAAAAGAGACTCCCTAATTCTCCTTCATGTTGATAAATTTAGGCTGATCATTGTTCTAAGAAACCTATTCAGTTCCATTCTTTCTATCAAGCTAAGTTTCCACACTTTCCAACCTGCTCTGATAGCAAGTTTCTTTGAAAATAGATGACAGGATCAAAACTTTGTAATGGAATGGCATAATGGAGAGTACCTCACCATGGAGAATTGAAAAAAAGAAATTTCTTTTTGCAAGTTCTGGTTCCTATAACAGTTTTCTCATTGAGAAAGACTAGATGATTTCTAAGAACTCTTCCAGCTTTATATCATGAAATGACATTCTGTAATAATTAGAACTATTATACAAAACTAGAGAATAAATGCAACAAAAAAATGAATCCTCTTAAGTTCTTTTATATTATTCATTGCAGTGTGTAGTAAGGACAGATATATGCAAATGTGTTCAAGCACCCCAAATCACACTTTTTCAGCCCTATTTTTGTGGAAGCCAAGACTATGTGGAAGAAGGGAATCTGCACCAAGTAATCGCAGATAGTCTTCAATAGGCAATCCAATAACATACATTTATATCAGCAAGTTAGTTATACTAAAATAAATTTAGAAAGCAAAACTTTATTTTTTCCTTAAATATGTCGGTACTTCCAAACAACTATGACCTAAGCAATGCTAATGATATTTTTACAAATTGGTTCCTTAGAAAGTTATGTGACTACTAACCCTTTTTAAATGTAAGACAATTTTTTAGAGCAGGTTTAGATTCACAGCAAAATTGAGAGGAAGCTACAGAGTTTTCCCATATACCTCCCTACCCCCACACATTGTTAACTCTTTGTAAATTATTTTTTAGCTATTTTATAGGTACATTTCTCTTTGTTTAACCCAACATTTTATTATGGAAAATTTCAAGCACGTGTAAAAGTAGAGAGTAGTACAATCTACCCCATATATCCATCACCCAGCTAATCATTAGATAATGGCCAGTCATTTTCCTCTTTATCCCACACACTTGTTGACCCTCACTAGATAGTTTTGAATTACGAGTAAAAAAATAACAATACTTCCTCAATATCATCAAATAGCTAGTTTTTAAAAAATTTTCCTCAGTTGTCTTCTGATGTTTTTGTTACAGTGGTTTATTTGATCTATAGCTAAACAAGATCCGTGGATTGTATTTGGTTGATACAACTCTTAAAGGTTCTTAATCTATACTCTCCCTCTCCTCTTTTCTTTCTTTCTCTTGATTAGTTGAAGAAACCAGGTTATTTGTCCTTTAGATTTTCTCATTGTCTAGATTTTTCTGACTGACTGCATCCTCTTGGTGTCATTTACCATACTCCTGTGTCTCTGTATTTCCTGTAATCTGGTAGTCAGATACAGAAGGTTGGTGTGATTGCTCTTTTTTTTTTTTAAAGACTATTTCATTGGTGGTATTAGGTGCTTCAGTTATGAAGCACATATTCTGGTTCTCTCTTTTTGTGATTTTAGTAGCCATTGATGATCATTGCCTAGATCCATTAGTGCATTAGGAGTTGACAAAATGGTAATTTCATAATTTTGTCATTCTTAATTGAGTAGCTAGAATATGAACACGCATGCGTATAGAGAGAAATTTTCCCTCATTAAGTACTTAGTTACTCTGAAATATTTTTCATACAATAAAGATTAAATGTTTGTCTTTCCCTTTACTTGCCAGTTTTCGTAATATAACTGTAACATTTTCAAAGGTGACCATTGAATTTTTTCTTTTTTAGTACCATTATGAACTCATGAATTTTGATATATTAGATGTATTTCAATATGGTCAGTTATTATTCTTATTGATACTAAAATTATCCCATCTTTGGATACAATCTACCCCAGTGAGAATATTTTCAGTATGGCTCCTCTGTAGTTTTGACATGTTCCCAGTAGTCTTTGAAAGCTTACTTGATTTATGGTATGACAAGATCAAAATTTTGACTGAGAATCTTGACTCCAAGCGTCATTAATGTCATTACTTATTTTCACTGTCCCTCAACATATGTATTTATATATGCCAATATAATTAATAGCAATGTGATTACTGAAAACAGGTTAAAATTTCATTTGTCATTGTTTTTTGTCCTTTGGACAGTCAAATTACTATTTTTTAAAATAATTCCTCTCTCTAAGCCACCAATTCAATATAGAATTAGGTTCATTTGTTTCACTTTTATTTTGAATTTTTAGGGATTGTTTTTATTTTCATATAATTTTATTTATAAATATATAAAAAAGTTACATCGTTTTAAAGTCAAATCTTCAAAACAAGATATATTCAGAGAAGTCCATTTTCCCTCCTGTCCCTTTCACTTTATTTTGCCCCATTTCTCTAAGAAGAAAAATGTATATTTGCCTGTATTAAAACACAGACATATATTTCCACCCTTAAATAAATGGCAGCCTACTATGTACATTTTTCTCCACTTGGCTTTTTTCACTTACAATATATCCTGGAGATCATTCCATAGCAGTATAAAGGGATATATTTCAATTTTTTGCAGCTGCATACATTTCCATTGTTTGGATTTACCATATATTAGTCAATCAGTTGCCTCTTGATGAATATTGGGATTTACAGCTTTTTGATAATATAAAAGTTTTACAATGAGTGTGGATGTATAAATCAATTATATCCAAGTTTATCTCTGGTATAGATGTCTAGAAATGGAATTGTTTGATCAAAGGGCGAATACATATGGAATTTTGCCAAATTATCCTCTAAAGGTGTTGTGCCGTTTTACAAACACAGATCCAATTGCACAAGGACAGACTATACAGATTTATATAGAATATAGTTAAAGACTAAACATGATCTAATGTTCACAGAAACAAAGAGTTATCTAAAATATGAATTGCATTTTTATTTAAGTTACTCTTCTGTTGATAGTTATTTGTTTATATAATGGCTCTGTCTTGATGGGAGCATCTGTCACAAGATAATTTTGCTAAATCTAATCCATTATGATCATACAATGCAAAATTATCAATATTCAAACACATTCTCATTTATAAAAGACTATTACGTATGAAGCCAACTTGCTTCCACATAATTCACCTTTTCATTAGAAACTTAACAGGAGCAGAAATTATAAATTTGTTCATTGTCCATATCTCATATGAGACATTAGCCCTTTTTCATTGTAAGCCATAACCTATACATTATGAAACTATCTCAGAAAGTCACTAACTTTTAGACTAGAGAATAATGAAATTTTTTAAAACGTCATTTTCAATATTTAAATTTGCTTCTTAAGGACGTCTTAGCATGGATTGATATTATACTCCTCTGGCTTAAAGCTGTTGAGTGATTCGTAATGAGATGACTGACAAAGTAATAGTCCTGAAGCCTTCTTAAACCACTACTCCTATCTACTTCTCTTTATTGATATAATGAAGGGCGAATTAATTTCAAAAGGTTGTGACTATTGATTACTTAATGGCAGAAGATAGTGTAGAGAAGTGCTGAAGTGAGCCTATTCTGTGCCCTCCTGGGCAACACAACCCATTATCCAGTGGTGGAAATCATGCTGTAGCCTTCATTCATATTTAATGGGCAGGATGCAGGCTCGATGTAGGCTACAAAATTGCCCTAGGCATAGGCTTCAAGAGGCCATAAGAATGTTTCAAGTATATAAAAGAGTAACAGATTTCCCTGTGTTCGGATTGTTTATAAGCAGCACAATACACTCAATTCTCTTTTGTGATCTCTGGGCATTGATGGCCTAGTGGAAACACCTACTAGGCAAGTTGAAGTGATTAATGTTCTGGGAAGTCATTCTAGGTTAGTAAACCCTGCATGAGAAAACTTTGTATTTTCCAGTGTGGTTCTCAATTTCAGCCCTTCTCTTTCTCTCCTCTTGCCACAAGCTGAAGGGCTTGTTCAGCAGGGGTGGCAAGTCAACAAAAGGCGTTAATTGTGTCTAACGCAACCATCATCCTTGGGGCGATATTCTGTATCACGCTGTCTATCAAGCTAACCCCTTGTCACGTGTCAGGATCTTTTTATTTCAGTTCATTTAAAAGGGAAACAGGAGTTTTAACGATAGCTGTTGGGGAGACATGAGTATGAGAGTGTCTGTAAGGACTAAGAGCCTTTAAAGCTGACTTGAACTAAAATGGGCTGTGACTGCTGAAAGGACAATACAAGGTTTTATAGGTTACTGACTCCTATTGTTAACTTTTCAAATTACCAGGTTATTTTTCAGTACCGTACCTCAGCTTATTTTGAAAATATTGTAAGCTTGAAATGAGGTAAAGTTCTTAAGATGGAACATATTCTTGGGATTTACGGGTATATAAAGGACAGAATATCAAATATCCACCGTCCCAAACAATGTATAAAATTAAATAGATAGTGAGGGAATATCAATTTTGTGACTCAATGACTCTAAACATTTTTGAAAATATGTCTAGGAGAATCATTTACTGTGTAACATACAGGATTGTTTATAATTACCTGCCTAGAATAAGTTACAAAAGAATAAAAATTTAGCTTTGTAGGCAAAAAGTATCCAAGGGAACAAGTCTTCTATTAACATATTGAGCTTTTTCTCAAAAGCAGTGAAAGAAATAGACCCAGAGGTCTCATTGTTATTCCACGTTAAATGTGGGAAAATTCAGTTTTACTCCCAGCCTAAGACTGCGCATGCCTAAATGGTGTTTTCAATTTATGAATAGGTCTGTGTGTATGCCTACTCTTTCTGACATCCAGTAGAGAGTTTCAAATTATCAAGAGTTAGCGATGGGAAATGCATTTGTGTTCATTTTTGTTTTTTTGACCAATATGATCTTTATGAGGCATAATGGTGGATCTACTCAGATGCTTGTTTTCGTTTGTCTTGTTGTTATTTGTTTATTAGTTGGTTGGTTGGTTAGTACATGCCATTTCCAAGAGCAAAAGTAACACTATAAATTAAAAATAATTTAATAGATTTTCTCTAAGGTGCTTAACACTATAACATAAAACTTAGGAAGACATTTTATCAACTGTGTATATTACAATCTTAGTAATGGTTATACCTCCAGTGCCTTTGGATATTCTGAAGAGAAGAGCTTTCTTAATCCTGTATTCGCACAACAATGATGCTTGTTGAACCATAATCTAATATATTGAGCAGTTATAACAGTAAAAGTCACAAATCCTAAATTTCCTCTCCTTTTCCTTTTCTACTTTATAGCGCAGCAGCAGTTTTGGGAATTTTGATCGTTTTCGGAATAATTCCATATCAAAACCAGATGATTCAGCTGAGGTTAGTATTTTGTTCCATTTTTATGAATGTTATGCAAACACATTATGGAAAATCATGAAGCCAATATCACTTTTGCAAAGTGTGTAAGAAAAATAAACATATTTAAAAATCATAGCCTTGCATATATTTTTGTGATAAGTGAACGATTATTTAGGACCTAGTACCATGCTGGGTGATAAGAGAAACAGTTAGCTAAGAAGCCCAGCAGGTATTTGGGAAGACAGAACATGAACTTAAGAAGAGACTTAAAATTTTAAGTACGAAGAGAATCCCAAATCTTCTGAGCATTTCCACCATGAAATAATATGTATTTTAAATTTTATGTAAGTTGTAATTGCTTTAATTTCGGAAATGATTAAATGGCTTAATTGTAAGTTTGTTAAGGAGAGCATACGGCTGCTCAGTTGCACTCTCATACTTCTGCCATATTCATTGAAATGTCACAATGGTGACCATTCCATACACGTTTGCAAATCATGAACACTGTAACTTGAGAAAAGCTTCCCATAAAATCAAGTTTACATAATAAAAATAACTACATTTAATTGAGCACTTACCATGAAGTAAGCACAATGCTAAACTCTTTACCTACCTATATGGTAGGAACTATTAGTATTTTTATTTTACCATTGAAGAAATATGTTTCATTGAGTAAAAGTAACTTCTAAGTTACACAGCTAATAAATGACAAAGGCAGAACACAACATCTTGTGCAAAGTTTGCTATTCTGTTATACTATCTCATAAACCATGGGCCAACTGTGATCAGTGATTAATGAAAAGTGTAACAACGAGTAAAATAGTAGAAAGGAGGGACTATGTTGAGAAAATTGAAAATACATGTTTATCATTGAACTGATAACAGCAACCCCACATGTGATACGTTTGTTTTGGATCAATAGGTTTTAGATCTTATGTACTTCTTATTCATTTCAGTTATTGTATCTTTATTTTTTGTTTTTTATAAAGAATTTTCCCATTATCACATCTAATTTCTCAAAATACTTTTCAGATTCCTATATGCATCTACCTATAATATTTTTAAATATTTTTATTTCAGTAATGGATATTCTAGGCAAAAGAAATGGAAATATAATGACATCTATTATTACTTTATAAATATCTATCTCTGTTAGTATATATATATATACATGTAGGTATAAATACATCCCCTTTTATACATATATATTTTATATATTCCATTTTACCCATCTATATATGTATATACATATGCTTGTATATATATATATAAGCTTGTATATACCTATAAGTTCTATCAATTATTGTAAATAATACAATGTAATATATGTATATAAATAGTGAAAAGTCCTATATATTTTATTTTTAGTTAGCATATTGTATAAACCTTTAACTTTCCATAATCATACATAGATATATTCTGCTGTTATTTAGTTTATAATTACAGAGTTAACTATAAACGTTGCTCAGGTTCATTCAAGTTCATTGATTAGTAATGGTGGCCTAGTAACTTGTGAAAGAATTTAGTGAACCTGATAAAGTAGTTCGTACATTTTTCAACAATCCAGCATTCATTCATTCAACAAATATTTATTGAGCACCTACTCTAGGACAAGATTTCTGTTAGACACTGAGAAAGTACTGTTACAATAACAGATGAAAATCCTTACTTCATGAAGCCTGGAGTCTAGGGGGAGATAGATCTTAAAACAACAATTAAAAAAAACAATGAAAAATACATATCTAAATAAAATTGTGATTCAGGCTATGAAAGAGAACAGCATAGAAAAATGTTAAAATTAAAAATATGTTGAGATAGTTTCTTTGAAGTTTCTATAAATAATGTTAGAAAAACCTGAAATTAAAAATATTTGTGATTTTTTTTTTTTGAAACTTAGGGATTGATAAGTTAACACAGGAAGTGTTATAAAATAATATACTTTCTTGTTTATTTTAGTTTGTAATTGTACAATGAAGACAGAGAAAGTTTAAGTAGAGAAAAGAGAGAAAAAAAAGGGTAACTCTTAAACTTCAAGTTGTTTCCAAGTTATATTTTATTCATGGCTTTTGAATTAAGCAAAGAATCTTTGCCTTTATAACCTTGAATGTAGAAATTAATAACGTGCAATGAGGGCTTAAATTGGCTGTCCATTCATATTTATCATAGGCTATCTGGGGTAAGATATGAAGCAAAACATAATATTGATTAATAATGATGTTAACTATGTGGTTAAACCTTCATATATAAATAGTCAAGTTCACTAAAGAGAAGTTTCCCATGATGTTTTATATTCAGGGAATGACTGGCTGCCCACCTGTCGAGAATGGTGGGCAGTGCTAGACTAGATGACCTTCAAGGGTCTTTTCTTGCACATCTGAAACATTAAGGCTATGCAACCCAAATATGTTCTCCAAGAAAACAAATCACTTCAATGTTCTACATGAGAAGTTTCACTTATTCACAAAATATTGAGGATCAGTTATGTTTCTGGAAGTATTCTAGACACTCAGAATAAATAAAACTAAAGTCTCTAGTCTATGGAGCATACATCATAGTGGGAGATGCAGGCAGTAATCAAATGAACAAACAAATGTATTATCAGGTAATGTTCAGTGCTTAGAAGAAGAATAAATCAGGGTAAACATACAGGGAGTACAGACAAGTGTGGGCTACTTTAAATAGGGGATCAATCAGAAAATTCCTCTCTTATTACTTGGCATGTGAGTAGAAACTTGGATGAACAAAGACCTCTGTGGATATCTAGGGGAAGCCAATGGCAAAAGCAAGTACAAACCTTGATGGGAACACGAAAGAGAAACAGCAAGGGCACTAGTATGGCGATACTTAGTTACAGTTGTTTTCAAACTTTAGCATGTATCAGAATCATTTGAGAAGTTGGTTAAAATACAGACTGTCCCCAATGATGCTGCTGCTGCTGGTCTTGGGACCACATTTTGAGAACCACTGCTATAGTGAGCAAAGGAAATCTGACAAGTAGCTAGGCGTGAGATGGTGAGTGTATTTTATTGCATATACATTCTATATAATGTAATGTATATTACATTATAATACATATTATATTAATTATATCACATTATTTTATATTGTATTATAGAGCTTGTGAGCTGTGACCTTTGTTTTATTTTGTTAGATGGGAAGTCATTGGTTTAACAAGATTTTTAATAAGCACAAAGCAGAAGCAGTCAAAATAGAGATTTGATTAGTATAGTATGTGAATTACCTGAAGATTTCTGTACTAATGGCTGGAACCAGCTCATATTTGCTTTTGCTTGAGAATGTGGGAAATGTGCATGCATACTCACCTGCAAGGTGAAAAAATTGCAGTTTCTTGGTGGATTTAATTAATTCCAAAACTTCTTAAGAACTAACCATGACCATATCAATGTTTCTAAGAAGAGGGTATTTTAATGCCTGTTCAGCATGGATCGATGCTACAGCCATTCTAAAGCCTCCAATAAAATATCTCCCATCTAACTAGACATAATCACTCATTATGCTTAAAACAGGAAGGACTAAAGTAGTTCTACTATACAGCTGTTAAAAAATAGCTAAAATTCTCTATAAAAATTCCAGATGTGAAATTCAGGTCCTTCAACACTACAAGTTTTACTTTCTGAATTTGTAACACAGGTAATCAGGCCTAGACAACTTTAAAAATATGTATTATGTCTAGATTCTTTTAAATTCTGGAGGCTGCTGCAGAGGATGTATAGGAAGTTCTCAAATATGAAATCTTCTCTCTAACAACGTTTTCAGTTCAGTGCTTTTCATTGTTTTATTATTTTGTCTTTTGTAAACAATTCTAACTAGGTATGTGAAGGGGAACCCATAAATGAAAGTGGAGAACAAAATAAGATGTCAAATAATGGAGGAAGTTTAGGTAAAAAAATGAGAGCTATTTCCTGGACAATGAAGAAAAAAGTGGGTAAAAAGTACATCAAAGCCCTTTCTGAGGAAAAGGTAAGTGTACTTTGTTAATCATGTGTTTTTCTATTAATTTTTCCTTAAAACAGTCAACAGGCCCTTCTAGACATAGAAGTACTTGGTGATTTATGAAGACTTCAGCAACTATTTTCTCCCTCAATAATTGTGCCCAGAAGTTAGGTGGAAGAAAGTATTATTACTCCCTTTTTAACAGAGGAAACTGAGATTCAGAAAGATCACACCTGTAGTATGTGAAGAACATGTGTCATTTATGTTATAGCAAACAGCAGGACTTCATTCCTTTTTATTGCCAAATAACATTCCATTTTATAGCTAAGCCACATTTTATTTATCCTTTCATCGGTTGATGGACATTTGGGTTGCTTTCGCTTTTTGGCTAATATAAATAATGCTGCTATGAATATTTGTGTGCAAGCTTTTGGGTGAAAATATTCTTTCATTTCTCTTGGGTATGTGGTAACTCTGATATTTTGAGAAACTGGCAAACTATTTCCCAAAGCCGTTGCCTCATTTTACATTCCCTCTAGCAATATATGAGGGTTCCAATTTCTCCACGTGCTTGCCAACACTTGTTATTGTCTGTCTTTTTGATGCTAGCCATCCTAATGGGCGTGAAGTGGAATCTCAACGTGGTTTTGATTTGCACTTCCCTGATGACTAATGCTATTGAGAATCTTTTCATGTGCTTATCAGCCATTTATATATCTTCTTTGGAGAAATGTTTATTCAAATATTTTGCCCACTTTTTAATTTGATTATTTGTCTTTTTATTGTTGACTTCTAAGCATTTTTAAAATATATTCTGGATACAAGTCCCTTATCAGATATAGGATTTTCAATATGATATATTTTCTCCCATTCTGTGGATCATATTTTCACTTTTTTGATGGTATCTTTTATAGCACAAATGTTTATAATTTTGATGTAGTTGAATTTATCTATTTTTTCTTGCTTGCTTTTAAAATTGTATCTAAGAAACTATTGCTAAAAAAGATTTACTCATGTTTTCTTCTAAGAGTTTTAGTTGTAGTTCTTAAATTAGTGTATGATCCATTAATTTTTCTATATGGTGTGTGGTAGGAGTCCAACTTTATTCTTTTGAATGTGGATATCCAGTTGTCCCAATGCTATTTGTTGAAAAGACAATTCTTTCCCCATTGTATTGTCTTGGCACTCTTGTTGAAAATCAATTGATCATAAATATATGGATCATAAATATATGAGTTTATTTCTGGACTCTCAATTCTGTTCCATTGATCTGTATGTCTTATGTCCATTCTATTTTTAGCCCACTTCAATAGGACTTCTGTCCTCAGTACTCCACAATCAGTCTGTGTTGCCAAAGCCAGTGGTCACTTTTCCTTCTTCTTACATTACTTTTCAGCTGTATTTGACACAACTGATGATTTCATTACATATGAAACATTCTCTTTTCTTGGTTTCTTTGAGTGGGCATTCTTCTGGCTTTCCTTCTTTCTTATAGTTTCCTTTCTTGGCTCTGCTTTCTTTCCTGTCCCTCTACATATTGAGTCTTCCTGAGGCTTGTTCCTGGATGCTCTACTCAATCTACTCTCTCCTCCTAAGTGATCTCATCCAGTCTCCCATGACCTTGTTTTTCACAATTATATTTCTAGCTATGACCTCTTTACTTATCTGTTGTACTTATACAACCAATTCCTTATTTGATATCATCACTTAGATGTACAATAGATATCTGGAACGTAATATATCCCAAACTGAATTATTGATTCTCTGCTTTACCAAAAAAAATTGTTTCTTGTCCAGTTATCCCAGTAGCAATAGACAACATTGCCATAACTCTAGATGCTGGAAAGGAAGGAAGGAAGGAAGGAGGGGATGGAGGAAGGGAGGAAGAAAGAGAGAGAGAAAAGAAAAGAAAGAACGAAAGGGAAAGAGAAAAAGGGAGGGAGAGAGGAAGGGTAGGAGGAAAGGAGAAAGGAAGAAAGCCTAGGAATTATTCAACATTCCTTCTTTCTCTCATTTTTCACACCAATTCATCAGTATATTCTCTTGGTTCTAACTCCAAAGTATATCTAAAACCGTTAATTTCTTCATGTAAACTATTCTTGCTTTAGACCAAGTAACCAACCTCTCTTGCTTAGATTACCATAATAACCACCTAATTGGTTTCCTTTCTTCCACTCTTTCCTCCATAAAAGCCATTCTCCACATGAAAGCCAGAAAGATCTCTGAAAAGTGAAATTCAGAACACATCACTCCCCTGGTTAAAATGTTATAATGCTTTCACAATGTATTCCCTTACAATGGTGCGTTCATTACAGTCCTGAGAAGCAGAGCCCAACAAGGGAATAGACCCACCAAAAATGTATTAGGGAAAATGCATGTGAAAGATAAAGAGGAGAAAGAAGAAATGGGCAGGGAAAGCCTTCACACTGCAATGCAAGTCTGACACCTGTGACAGGAGAGGAAGAAGAAAGGAGGATCCATTCAGGTCTCAGACTTCAACACTGTTCTGAGAAAGTTTTGGCCAGATTGATGGGGAGTCCTTGAACTAAAGTTTTCCATTAGAGGAGCCCCACATCCTCCCCGAATGGACTCAGATGGTATCCCCACTGTTTCAGTCATGGGCAGGGAGCATGGCTTCCATGCAATCACAGTGGTGGATTCAGAGGGGCAGTAGCTGGGGCTGTGAGTACAGAAGGGTCCTGCAGCAAGAGATCTGGGTGGCACATTTCCATAGCCACCATACACAGTCTATAAAGCTCTTCCTGATCTGATTCCAGTCTACTTCTCTGAGCTCATATCCTAACACTCTCCTTGCTCTCACTCAGCACCAGCTACGTGGGGCTTGTGGTTTTCCTATGGCATAACCCAAGCTTATTCTGAGTTTAATTATTTTGTTCTTGCTGTTCCTTTTGCTTAGAAAGCTCTCTCCAAATCTGCACATAACTTATATCTTCTGTTCATTCAGATCAAAAATTCAGAGCATATATTACCTTATCAAAGAGGTTTTTGGAGGTTAATCCATCTAAATCAGCTAACCTTAATCCCAGTAACTAATCCTTTCACATCACCTAGTTTTATTTCCTTCATAGCACTTATTTTCTGAAATTGTCTTGCTCATTTTGCTTACACACACCTCCCAAACACGACACACACACACATACACAGCCTAATATACTAAAATGTGCCTCATTAGAGCAAGGACCCTGTTTTCTTGTTTACCATGGTATCCCAAGTTCCCCCAAACAGTGCCAGGTACCTAGAAGGTGTTCTATAAACTTGTGTTGAATGACTGAATGGATGAATAAAGGAAGGGATAAAAGCAGAGAATCAAACTGAGTGTATATCATATGTATATTCTGAAGTTTTATCAATGCTTAGAAATGCTCAAAAATGAGAATATTTAATTACATTTTGAAAAATATTAAGAAATTCATAGGTTTTGTCCAAGCTATCTAAATATGGACAACATTTGAGATGTTTTCAAGCAGATGTAATTTGTTTTGAAATTGTCTGTCTTTCCTAATTTTATGCAAAATTTGCTTTTCACTTGACTAGGTGGCAAGCATGGTATGAGATTTGTAAAGCTTCTTAGATAAGTTTTGCTTTAGAATTGCAAAGTATGCATGTTTTATTCATATCTAGTGATCTGGTAGGGTGCAAATAACTGACGTGAAACAACTATGCAGAGTTTAAACTTGTAATATCAGATCTCAAAGGATTAGTAATGGTGGTAAATAGATGATAAAGAGAACAAGAAGAAATAAAAGTACTTTAACAGATAAAGCACAGATGTCAATAAATCTAACATTTCTGATTAAACAGTCTTGATATGATATTCATACTAATTTACAAAAGTGAACCATTATAATTTCTGTTGAATTCCATAATGTGGAATATTTCACCTAAAGAATTTTTTCAAGTATACTATAAATGTTTTGCTAGAAATTGAACTAAAGATTAATGGCTCTTATATTTTATGCTGATGTATTCCTAAGTATTTTATTGCTAAAATATGTCTTGTTTGTTAAATCAATGCACACAGTGAACATCTCTATGGAAATCTGTTCTCTGCACTTAACCTCTGATATGTTTTTCTGAAGGATGAGGAAAATCGAGAGGATGCCCTCCCATATCGGAACAGTGACCCTGTGATTGGGACACACACAGAGAAAATCTCCCTCAAAGCCAGTGACTCCATGGACAGTCTCTACAGTGGGCAGAGCTCATCAAGTAAGGCTATAGGATAAGGGACAAGATCCTAGAGGGAGGTCTGGGTTAAGTTAATTAAAACCAACAGATTTGCTACTCTGGTGCTTGTTTATCAAAATAGCAACAAGGTTCTAGCTACTTGCTAAGAGAAATAGTGAAAATATAAGATGTGTTGAATCTATAGAGTTACTATTGTTTAAAATAATACATAATATATGAGATAGAATTATGTATTATTTTGAAACTTTTTAACACTATAGTCAGCAGGGCTCTGGGGGATATGGCTCAAAAAGATCATGTTGGGTAATTAAATCTGCATCCCTAAAATAAAAACATGCTTTTGTATTGTTACTGGGAGAACTAGCATTATATTGAGTCGAATTTTTAAAAATGACTTGAAGTATTCAGATAAATAAAATCCCATTCTCTGTCTCTCTCTTCTTCTTTCCCTCCCTTAGCTCCTTCCTTTCCTCTCTTTCTCCCTCCCTCCCACCCTCCCTTCACCTTTCCTCCCCTCCCCTCTCCTTTTCCTCTCCCTTTCTCTCTCTCCTTCTCTCTCTCTTTTTCTTTCTTTCTTTCTTCCTTTCTCTTCTCTCTCTCTTTTTTCTCCCTCTTTCTTTCTTCTCCTGCCCTCTCTCACTTTTTCTTTCTTTCCTTTCCTTTTTCTGAAGTATTCTGAAAAGTGCAGGACATTTGTGTCAATTCTGATATTTACTTTTTAGGTCTCTGTCCAGCATTAGTGAGTAAAGAGTGAAGTAATAGGTAAATACTAAATAGTAGGAATATCACCAATTAGGGGACAAAAAGGAATCAGCACATGTTTAACAAGGATTTTCTAAAAACATGGATATTTTTCTAAGAAGGAAATCACTCAGGATTCAGTCACATATCCACTACAATATTTGGATGAAACTACTGATACAGCAGGGTGCCTTATAGCTTTTTATATGTACACTGTTATACACCCCTCTAATCTTTTTAGGACTTTTAAATGTTTTTCACAAAGTTTATTTTCCATTTCCTTTTAAATCAACTACTTCTGTTATTTGAATATGGATCGCAAAGACCAGATGTTTCAAATATCCTGAATTTTATTCCTATTTTCCCATTGGCTGTAGAACAGTTATTTTGTGAAAAAAAGCTAATGCAGAAACATTTGAAGGATATATTTTTGCATGTGTGAAATTCAGATTTCATTAGTATTCATTTCTGCTGGAAGTTTTAAAATTCTAAATTGTGATGCTGAATGTGGGGAGAATTTTATTAAATGAAATGTACCATGAAAAGCCAGGGCCTGGGGTGATCATGGAAGGGAGGGTGCGAGGAGATGCTGGCCCATTTAGCTGTTATCATATACAACTTAATTTCTGTGATTAGAAGTAATTCACCTTCGGGGGGCCGGCCTGGTGGCACAAGCGGTTAAGTGCGTGCGCTCCGCTTCAGCGGCCCGGGGTTCCATGGTTCGGATCCCAGGCGCACGCCCACGCACTGCTTGGCAAGCCATGCTGTGGCGGTGTCCCATATAAAGTGGAGGAAGATGGGCACGGATATTAGCCCAGGGTCAGTCTTCCTCGGCAAAAAAAGAGGAGGATTGACAGATGCTAGCACAGGGCTTATCTCCTCACAAACAAACAAACAAAAAAAATGAAGTAATTCACCTTTTTTTTACACCAGTTCATATACAATGTGGAGCATGTCTAAGGATGTTTACCTTATTTCCATAATTATTTGCATGAATGGTAGATAAAGCGGGGCTGTTCCCTCATTGAATAGAGCACGGAAAGGCGACTCTGAGGGAGAAATGAAGTGACGACTGACAGTGGTGGGGAAAGAGAGTTACTTCCACTGGGAACCACTCTTGCCCCCAGACAAGGAGCAAAGATGGAATCTCTTTTCTCTTTTTCCCCTGGGGTTCAAAATCAGAAAGAAGAGGACCAGAGAACAAGGATTTGGAGCAGTTTAAAAAGTCCAGTTTAGAACAGTTTCAAACCACTTGGGAGGACAGGCATTGGAACCCACTTCCTCCTTCCCTCACACTCACACAACAAGCAAAAGTGCACCTTCTATGAGTAGGAATGTGCCTCAAAATGGCTTTGGGTACACAGTAGGAAGTCTGGGAGAGCATTTTTGCCACATTGTGATAAGTTGTAGGGAGCCTTGTGTGTCATGCTTTCACCATGCATGATCAAAGCACACACAGATCAAACTGCTGTTATTGGTTTCTGTCTTTTTCACATGTACAAAATTAATTATCTGGCTTGTACAGGGGGTTAAGTCTATACTGTCCACCTCTTTAGCAAGTGTCCAATGCTCAAAACACTGTGCTACTGGATCGGCTCACGGAGACCAAAATGAGAGGGTGTTTGGGTTAGTGATTGAAGAAAGAGTGGTCAGAGTGGCTGGAGAAAGGCCAGAAATGGCTCAGAGGATAGAGATCGCTGATGGAGAGTGACTGGGAGGCGGAAACAGGGAGAGGTCACTTAGAACCCCCTCAGGAGGCTGGGATCCAATGCTTTGGTACTATCACTGCTTAGTTGTGTTCAGACGATGTATTCAGAACGTTATGAGCCTTGGATGAGAACTGTTAACCTCTGCTTTGCCTTCATCAGGTGGAATAACAAGCTGTTCAGATGGTACAAGTAACCGGGACAGCTTTCGACTCGATGATGATAGCCCATACTCCGGACCCTTCTGCGGCCGTGCCAGAGTGCACACCGATTTCACACCAAGCCCCTATGACACTGACTCCCTCAAAATCAAGGTGGGTGCATATCATACGTGCATTCTATATGATTTATCTAGTGCTGGTTGTATGATCTGTTTCAGGAAGTGGAGCAGTGGGAACTGGAGGGTGAGTGTGTTCTTCCCAACAGTAGGAGACTAGTTTACTGGAGACTGGTTTACTGTGGCAAGAATTTGAACAAAACCTGAGAGGCAGGGTAGGGAGGTCAGTCTGTTGAGGCTATTAGCATAAGTTGCTGTTATGTAGATAATGCCGAATCAGAGCCTATCAGGGGAGAAGGAACTGCCTATATTTTTCTGAAAACCAAAAGCCTCACAGGTTGCTGGAGGTGTCCAGCTCTGCCTGATAACTTGCTGGAGTGATAATAATGAAGCCAAGGAGAGGGAGAGAAGGTGGAGATATCAGGCAAGAGCCCGCAGAGCAAAGGCCTTGGGAACCAGACGCGGCCAGGCAATTTCAGTACTTAAGTCAGTTGCCATGAGTAACCAGACGTCTTTCTCCCAGTGATATGCGCTCCTGAATTCCCTCTTCTTACTCTTGTCCTTTGTATTCATTTTCTATTGCTGTGTAACAAATTACCGGAAACTCAGGGGCTTCAAATAACACAAATGTATTATTATTCCACAGCTCTGTGGGTCATATGTTTGGGTGTGGCTCAACTGGATTCTCTGCTTAAGCTCTGGCTGGGCTGAAATCAAGGGGTCAAGCAGGGCTGTGATCTCACCTGAGGCTCTGGGTTCTTTTCCAAGCTCACAAGCTGTTGGCAGAATTCAGTTCCTCATGGTTGTAGGACTGAGGCTCCTGTTTTCTTGCTGGATATCAACTGGGGGCCATTCTCAGCCCCTTGAGGCTGCCAGCCATGGCCCTCTGTGTAACATGGCAGTTTGTTCCTTCAAGGCCTGCAGAAGAAAAGCTCACTAATGCTTCAAATCTCCTTATTTTTAAGAGCTCCTACCTGAGTAAGTCAGAAACACCCAGATAATCTCCTTTTTAATTACAAAATTAACAAATTTTGGACATTAATTACATCTGCACAGGCCCTTCTGTCATGTAACACAATATAATCACGAATGTGAAATCCATTATTTTCATAGTCCTGCTTACACTCAAAGGAGGAAGTGGTTACAGTAGGACAAACAGAAGAAGGTTTAGTGCTAAAATACTTTATAGATATTAAATTATTCCTTTTAGTATCAAAAAATGCCATAGCTAAAAGGACAGAAATTATGAATTTTTAATACTGTCAACATCAAACCAATGTTAACCAATAATTATAAGTTATGAAGTATTGATATTATTATTTAAAATTCAAGGCATTCAGCTCTTCTTTTATTCCTTCTATGGTATCAAATCAGAGTAAGCTCAGCTGGAGAATGAGGAAAATGTTATTCCCCACAGTTAGCTCCTTAGTCATTTCTATGAAATGATTTGACGACTAAGTTTAAGTCTTGGGAAAGTATGCTTGTAGCCTAGTAACCATTGTGCGGGGAGGGGAGGAGAAGGGAATAAACTGAACACATTTTGACTCACGATAACTTTTCATCTTCGCTACAATACCATGGCTGTGCACCACCACTAGTGAAGCCTAAGGTGATGTTTGCGGAGCTCTTATAGGACACAATAAGAATCCCTCAGTTACCACTGAGGAATGAATACTATTGTTTCCATCAAGGGTCTTATCCAAAATGAAACTAGGTCTTTCCTTGGTGGCTTGTGGGCTTTCCTGGAACATGTACATCTTACAAGTTTAAAGGATAATAGGAGGAATGCAGCAGAGGGCTGCCATGCCTAGAAACTGCCACTAGAGCTTCTGGGGATTTTCTAGGTCTGGTTACCTAATCTCATCTCGCCTAGGATTTGATTCCCTATAGTTAAAGGCAGGAAGAACTAGACAAACAGCTCAAAGGGACAGACAGGCAGATGATCACAAATTGAAAAGACCAGATCTTTTAATCACATTGAATTCTACTATTGCAAATATGATTTGTATTTTAGATGGAAGAATACACATTCACAGACCAGCAGGAAAAAATATTTTTAGCAGCAGACTTAATGCTTTGTTTGCTTGAGGGTAGACCCCTAAAAGTGGCAAAAATATTGAAATCTATAATGTCCTCTCTGGGGTACAAATTTATAAGTCTCAAATAAGTAACTATGACTCTTAAATGTAGACACTATATTTGCATAGAAATCAATTTTCTTTACAAAGAAATACCCCATGGGGTTTTCTACTCTTGCCAATAACTGGCAGCCTATAGCCAATTAGAGTCTTAGACACGAATAAAGAAAATGACCAATTGGTTTTTCCATCCCAATGGGCTTCATTCATACTTCAATCCAAACTTTGTTGTGGAGCTCAACCTAAGTATTATCTTCTCTAGAATAAGAATGAAGTAGCATAATTCATCCTTAGTGCACATATCCTTTTGTTACATATTTGGTATGTACAATGTTCTGAACAGTTCCATTATTTTAGATGGATGCAATACTTGAGATAGGTTTATTTTACATTGTAGATGAATTTTTCAGATGAACTAGAAGCACAGACAGAGTCACAGACTTCTCTTTCTTCCCCTTCCCCAATTTAGGAGCCCCTCCCAGAATGATGGCTTGAGCTTTGCTACATATATATTGCTTTGAGAGGATGAATGAAAAGAGCACCATTTTTGAGTTCAGATGACTTAGGCTTGAGTTCTGGTTCTGCCATTAACTTCCTATAAGCTCCTGGCAAGTTATTTAATGTTTGTGTTTCTTTTTCTATAATATTTAGTGTAATAATGACACCTTGTATATGTACCTAAGAGGTGTGTTTGGGGCATAAAAAGACTCAGTGTACGCAAAAGTATTTTATAAATTACATTGTGCTCTACAAAGATAAGTTGACAAGTTGATGTGATACCGAAAACATAAACATGTCATCAAATGCATGTAGGAGCTTTTCTTCAAGCATGTTGAATTTTTCTTCATTATTACTAGTAAATAGTTTCCTTGAACTTTTAAAAGAAATTTCCTGCTAGATTTATTTCTGTTCTCTCCGAATCCCCTTAGCATAATGGCCTCATTATTCTAATTTCTATGATTCCATTGTTTCTACCAATTGTCATAGCACCAGAGTTCTCTGAAATCTGATTTGTGTATTTCTTTGTCCTTAGAAAGGAGACATCATAGACATTATCTGCAAAACGCCAATGGGGATGTGGACAGGAATGCTGAACAATAAAGTGGGAAACTTCAAATTTATTTATGTGGATGTCATCTCAGAAGAGGAAGTAGCCCCCAAGAAAATAAAGGCACATCGAAGAAGTGAAAGGGAAAAACCCAAGACTCTGCAGGAGTTCTTAGAGAGGATTCAGCTTCAGGTGAGCAAACCTGTGGCCTATTTGATTTTGGTGGTATATGGATGGAATAATTGAGGAGAATGGATCATTGTTTGTATAGTCTTGCTAAAAAATACATGACTTACAGCAAAGGAAAATCTGTTTTCCAAGAACAGTTCTTATTTCTCCTTTATTACTTTTATTATGCAAGGACAGATCTGGATATAATATCCCTTGGACTAAACTCTAATGGTACTCAGCAGTGACAGTAGAGATTAATGTTGAGAAAGCACAGTGAAAAATGAAAAATACCTAGGAGAATAAAAGGCCCAGAGAAAACGTGTAAATGAGAATGATAAAGGGAGTACGAAGGGTAAAGGTAAAAATCCAGAGAATTGAAAGAACAAATGAAAAGAAAATTGTATTTTCTATTGGGCAGAAATCAAAAGCAAGTCAAGAGAGGATAACTAAATAAAATTGTTTTAAAAGTAATTTGTTAGGAAACAGTAATCATTAAGTACCCATAATGATTATGTGAAGGAAACTGTGTTGTCTATATTCATAATCCAATTATTTTCTTGTTATATCAGCAAATTTTTATGAAATATCTACCTTGTTACATGGTGTATACATACAATATACCTAGCCTCACTCAATTTACTGTTTTGCAATCCATTTCCAAAATTAATGCAGCAGTACTTTAATAGTTCTCAAAATTCATCAAGGCAATGGCCGATTAAACTTTCCTTAATTGTTTTTCCTGCATTATCTAATTATATTCCTGTCTGTAGACACACTATCTAGGCCTTCCTATATTACTATTGGTGCCCCCCAAATGGGATACTCCTTGGAGAAAGTACAAGTTTGAATCCTGCCTCTTCTACTTGTTTGTCCTGTGACCTGTGAGAAATAAAGGTCTAAGGAAGTGAAATAACTTACTCAACAACCCACTGTTAGATGGTTATGTCAGAATGGAATTTTGGTTTTCTCTGTTTTAATTCAGTGCTCCTTCTAGGATACATTATTTTTAAAAGAATTGCCACCCAGGGCGGGTCTTCCTCAGCAAAAAGAAGAGGATTGGCATGGATGTTAGCTCAGGGCTGATCTTCCTCACAAAAAAACAAGAATTGCCACTCTTTCTTCTTTTATTTTTTGTAAAAAAGGGCTGGTAATAAGTTCTTCTTGATTACTTAAAACTTTTATACTTCCTCCTATTCAATTTTAGCAACCAAAATAAGGGTATTGAAATTATGAGCAAGTAAAATGGAAGGAATTTTTGAGGAAGTTGAAAAGCATTCAACTTCACTTTGCATTTTTATTCTTTTAGAGAGAACAGAGGTAATATAAATAACATACAGACTCTGAAATCAGAAGCCTATGAATTTTAAACTAATATATGTTGATGTGAATGATGGACAAAATATACATGCTGAGAAAAGGAAACAATACTTTTCTCAACCACATTGCTTTTATGCTTAATAAAAGTTTTTAATTCCGTAGGTTTATATAATGCCTTTCTACCAAAATGCTAAGTGTATTTTCTATATAGAAATGTGTCTGTTTCAAATTCATTTTTTTAACTACCTCAAGAAGTTAATGAGGATAAATGTTTTTGCAATCAAGCAAACAAGAAGGTATGTAGATTCAGAAATATTACTGTAATTACTCTATTAGAGGCATTTTATTGATAGATATAAGGACACACTAGCTTTGTTAATTTAGCTATTTGAGAAGTGAAAAAATGCTAAATGGGATGAATGATCCAGCTATTTAATTGATCTATGTTTTAGCATGTATAGCTTAAGGTAATTATTTCTTTTTACATTTTTCATTCCAGAAGGTGAGAATTATACAATATATTCTTTTAAATGCCCTAGAGTTCATATGCAGAAAACTAGTACGAGTGAAATAAAATTAAGCAAAAGTTCTGTTGGCACCTTTGGTTTCCACATGCATTTCTACACTTGCTTTAAATCGAAAGAGAACTAAAAATAAAATATTTGAATTTGACTAGCTTATATTATATATATTTTTTCTCTCCCACAGGAATACACCTCAACACTTTTGCTCAACGGTTATGAGACCCTAGAAGATTTAAAGGATATAAAAGAGAGTCACCTCATTGAATTAAACATTAAAAACCCAGAAGACAGGATGAGGTTACTATCAGCTGCTGAAAATCTCCTCGATGACGAAAGTAAGTGGGCACACGTACTCTTCTCCCTAGCTGATAATCACAGTTTAATGTAAATAGTAATATCATTAAAAACAAAGCCCCAATTTTATTCATTGAGAATCACATAAAGCATTCTTTCTCATAAAATAAGTATTTTCTTATATATTTGGAAACAACAACTCTGGTCAAGTCTATAATTAGGAAGAGAAAGATCCTTTTTTTCTGTATGGGCTCAGAAAATGAAAGGCGTTTTCCGGGTACCTCATTTAGATTCTGCAGAGCTGTTAATTTACACGCAAGTGGATGTCTGCATTCCCAAAGACTGAGGGAGTTAGAGACAAATATTTAGTGACAGCATGAGCCATTAGTGAGAAATGTCATATGCAACTTCTGTAGAACAGCATAGAGCACAGCTCTAAGCTAATGAGCCTTCGCACCACACAGGAAAATTCATTTCATTACCATATAGTCACATCTTGTACGTGTTTATAGTATTCTTTCAAAATGTTATAATAGCTTGCAAAAATATTCAGCTCCCACTTTTATTATCTGAGATGGTGCTCTGTATTTCTAAGTATAAACTGAAGATGGAGTAATACATGCAGATTCACTTGTGGCAGAACACTGGCTGTGCCAGCTGGGTTTGTGAAGCTAGCATAGCTTTTGTTTTTATAATTGCCCATTCTGAACACTCTTCTTACTAAATCTGGTTAGGCTCCCAAAACCTTGAGCTCACAGCCTGCCAAACTCCGCAAGGAGTATTTTGTTAGGAAAAAAATGGGGAGGTGTCTAATTTTAAAGATGGAAAAGAACTTAGATCATCTAACCAAATTTCTCTTTCAAAAGTTATATTAATAATCATTAACTACTTTTTCTGAACTTGTTCTCTGAGTAAAACTTTGAGCCAAGGCCTTTACATTTATTATCTCCTTTAATGCTCTCTACAGCTCTGTGAGTTAGATAGTACTGTCTGAGTTTTTAATGAGAAATTGAGAAGACAAGTAACCTGTCCAAGCTCATGCACCTAGAGAATTAGAGAGCTACGACCCGTATTTGTGATGCTATGCTATACTTTCTGTGAAGAATAGCCCAGATGGATAGTAGGGAGGAACGTTGTATTTAGGACCCAAGTCTCCTGTCTATTCCTTCGTGGGCTTTCCTATGTCCTCATATGCCCCACAAAATGGGCATAGTTGCACAGCACATGTTTGTTACACACTGGCCTTTTATCTAGTAGGAATTAATTTACTTTTTTAGAAACTGTACCTCACTTTATTCTTACTTGCTGTCTTGAGTTTGCACAGATCTTCATCCTTTTCAAAGAGCTCTCACATGTACCACTAATTTGATACCTGCAGAATTGATTTCATCTTAGGCCTAGGTGTTTACATGCATTCTTTGAAGTTGTGGAGGCTAGGAGATGTGAAAGAGGGGGATGGGGTCACAGGGGCAGACAAAGGTCAAACTGGAGAAAGTAGCCAATTTACTCCACAGTACAAGCCAAAACAAAACTGATCAGTGTCAATTGATGTAGCAATATCTTCCAGGTAAATGAGGCAGCTTCTTTCACATCTTGCCACTTCAAAACACAGCTCCTCACTAAGTGATGTTAGGCTAAGAAATAGATTCTCCTGACTTCTGTATTTATAATGTTCAATATCCTTGTCAACACCCCAAAATAATTTGATGCTGAAGTAGAGGAGGGAGAAGAGTGGGTATTTTTGGAACACATGTAAATAATCGCTTTTCTTCTACAATGCCATCCATGTAGATATTTTGCCCACTTCACAGATGAGAAAATATTTCAGAGATAAATTTCAAAGAGGCTAAACAGCTAGATAAGTAAAAGAGCTGGAGTTTTAATCAAAGGCAGGCAGCTATAAAAATCCAGGTTCTTTCTTCCACACATGCAAATTGGTAAATATGAAAAGAACAATAAATATTTGAAAATTGAAGTTTTCTGCTACTTTGCCAATTTTCTCAAGAGCTTCAGTTCAGTTTTTCATCGCAGAAAATGGAAGTTAATACTTAAGTGAGAATGGAAACCTTGCAACAACATGACTCCCTGAAAGGTGGAAGACTACTACGGCTGCATTGCAACAGGATTTGTGAATAGAAGGGGCCAGAGAGCCTTGGTAGGCAGGGCTTTCAGCCCTAAAACTGCTCAGCAGGGACCGGCAGAGGGAAGATCTCTTGGGCCACTTAAAGTGTCCACTTAATTTCTTTTTTCCACCTCACTCATCACCCATCTACTTTCTATGTTAACAAAAGAATAATGATTTATAGATGATATCATATTAGAGCTAGGTGTAATTTTAAAAACCATCTGACTTAAATTCTTCCTTTGCAAGATGGGGAAACTAAAACTAGAGTAGCTAAGTGGCTTTTTCAAGGTCACATTTCTAGAACGCATTCTCCTAAATCTATTAGAAACACATTCTACTATACCCTGATCTCCGAAAAGAAAACACAGTATCTCCAAAGCATGATGTGACTTTCAATGTTTGAAATAAAAAAGTAAAAATCCCCTAAATTATTTCTCTTATAAAACTTTAGAAAGTGGTACTTGAAGGTCACTAGAAGTAGATATTTAATAATAGCCAGTAATGTGCAAACACACACACACAGCCAAATTCTGGGAGATGAAAAATTTTAAAAATGCAGATTCAGCCAGTGTTTATTGTTAAAACACAACCCTGAGATTTTTCTTATTTTAATCTTAAGGTCTAAAGTAGTATTAGAATATACATGTCAAAAAGATGCATATTGCATGTTAGGCTATTCTGACTGAAAGCTATTTATCTTACATGAAACTGCTTTGCTCAAGAAATAAAGAAGAATGACTTCTATTTGTTGATAAGATGGTGAGTTCTGATGATTCGGCACCATGCTGCTGCATGCTTATTTTTATCTATTCACTACTCTGTGAATCATATCTTCTACAACCATGCTGAAGATTAAATGCACAACCTTCATGTACCTTGAATGATAAAGACCTTGAATATATGGTTATATAAAACTAAGACATTCTTAAAAACAAATGCATGTCACAGTCATAGGTTAAAAATAGTTAGCTGTGTGTGTGTGTGTAAGAATGGGGTATGCAAATTGGCCAGGATTTTATGTATGCATTTTATTTTGATCATTGAATAATGTCAGTTTGGGGAATGTCAATCAATTCCTAGTTTAGAGCTTCATTGCTTCTTCAGTTGGGAACTGGAAAGTTTTGCTTTGCTAATCATTCAATATAAAAATTGAGGGGCTGGCCCCGTGGTGTAGTGGTTGAGTCCAGCGTGCTCTGCTTCGGCAGCCCAGGTTCACTGGCAGATCCACTCCTACACCACCCCTCAGCCATTCTGTTGTGGTGACCCACATACAAAATAGAGGAAGATTGGCACAGATGTTAGCCCAGGGCGAATCTTCCTCACCAAAAAAAAAAAATTGAGCAGAGTGTGCACCTGTTTTGAGGACAAGAGTCAAAACTTTGAGTTGATATAGAAAAGACCACAAGCCCCATGTGAGCCTTTAATACATCTAGAGGAACCAAGAAGATGGGGGACTTGGGGGCTGGGGGACAGGACAGGGACAAAAACAGAAATCCAAGACTTAGAGCAAGCAATTTTCCTTTTCTCTTAGGCCAAAATAGATAGCATGGTATCCACTTTGACCTTGAAAATGTAAACCAGATTAAACGTTTTAGGTCACTGCTTGACAGGAGGTAAAGATGCTACTCCAACAAACTGATAGAAGAGCTGGCGAGTGGTGTTAGAACCCATCACAGGATTACCTCGAGTGTAGGACAACAGCTTTGGGATTCTGCAGTCTTGGCAAGACCAGTACAGAGATATTCTGAATTTGCTCCCGTGTTGCCTTAGAACTGAGCAGAATTAGGTCACTGGCTCCCTCAGCTGGGAACCTAGAGGGGGTTAGAAGGAGAAGAAAAATTGGGGTGAGCCTCAGTTCTTGAAGGAGTAAAAGAGCAGAATCTGTTTATTTTGTGCACATTAGGATTTCTCTATTTATCATCTGAATTTAAAAATGGTTTATTTACTTTGAATAAATATTCCCAGCAAGTAAAAAAGAGAATAGAGAATATGTGTGTGTGTGTTTGTGTGTGTGTTGTTCCATAAACACAACCTTTAAGACCCATCTGTCTTGCGAGAAATGTCTCTTTAGAATAATAAGATAGTTAACTGCTGTTTATAGTTAATATTTTCTCTTTATTCTAAACTTGGTCTTCTTTTCCCACATTTAGAAGCACTTTGATGTGTCTTAAAAGTGTGTCTATGAGAATGTGTGCTATTGTTCTTGGGGAAAACGGGTGATGGAGATATCTTGTTCTCCTTTATAGTACAGGGATAATTAAATTTTAAATTGACAAAAAAACCCCAACAACTTAGTAACTGAATAAGAAAAGTGTACTAGAATCTGTATATAATATATTATAGGTATCTGCAACCTTTGTTGGCAGTGCTCAAAGAGGAGGAAGGGGTAAGGGTGGGTTGTGTGCCAGGCTGTTGGCACCAGCTGTGGTCACAGCAGCCCCTCATTGCTCAACTATCCCCAGTTGCACCTTCCTGCCTGCTTACCTGCCCAAAACGATGCAGGGCAAATGGCAAGGCCCAGCCAGGAGCCTGGAACACGAACTGCCAGCAGGGGAGATTTGTAGTCATGCCAAGCAGCAGTCCAGCAGTTGGCCTGACAGCGTGCCAAGGTAGTCTAGTGGCCTAGCCCCTGACATGCCTGCCTGGTGTTTCCAACCCACTTGCCATATGATTTGAATCTAAATACAAGAAATGTACAGCTTTAAGAAAAGATATGTTAACTATCCGCAGAGTAGAGAATGCTCATAGCCATTTTACTTTTATATATTTATAAATATGTATTTAATAACTTATTTCTTGTCATAGCTGTTTGGTTTTATGCAATTTAATTTCTTCGGATTTCTTTTTGGTTTTACCCCCTAAGATTGAATTTTTGGTAGATGCCGTGTTCTGTATAATACAAAAAACAATAAAATG